TCTCTCTCTCTCTCTCTGCCCTCATTCGAGCCATGTGCTTTAATATCACCCATTCTCAATACTGACATACAATCCCTGGAATCCGCCCTCAAGCCACATCCTATTTAGCAGTTCTCCGAAGCAAAACTTCCCTGACAGAACTTCTACTGGCTCACCCAAGTCATCTGGACAGCCCATGTGAGCCTACAGAGGGGTCTCACAGTCAGACATAACAGAGCTAGTCAGGGAGGGAGCCGCATAGACAGGACGGGAGTGTGAGCATCTGTTGTATTCTGAAATAGGCTGAGCATGTGGAAGGAAAGTCGCTCTCTTCTAGGTCAGGCTATATAGTTTCAGTTTCATCAGGCTGCTAGCCACCAGACAGCTCTGCAAGACTCAGATATGCTTGAATTTTATAAAGATAACTGCTATCAGTATGCAGGGCTGGCTGCACAGAAAAGAAGAGGTCAAGAGACTAGTTACAGAGATGCTTCAGTGGTGAGAGCAGTCTGAACTGAGGCAAGGAAAACAAAAGGAAAGACAAAGGACCCAGCTAAGACTCATGCAGATGACATCAAGGGCCTGGCAACTAACTCATGGCTTCCTTCTCAAGAGACCATAAACAACAGGGCCAAGCTTTGGGCAATATGGGCAGCTTTTATGAGGAAAGATAAAAAGTTCTTTGGGGACAAGCTGAGTGTATGCAGCTTGAGGACGCCCCTATGGAGATGTCCACCACACAGACTGAAGGGGAGAATGCAGGTCACAGGCAGGGGAATGTCAGGGACTAAAGAACCAAAGCTTGATCAAAGCTGCCTGGCTACAAATGGGTGGTCACACAAGGTTACATTGAAAACGCTATTCTGTACTAAACATTCTCTTGAAGGAAAAACAAAACAAAAAGATACCCCCCCCACAAAAAAAATAAACAAAAAACAAAAACAAAGATACATCAATAATATTCCCACACCCAAGCTCCTAGGTCATTAATAAACAAATAAACATGCACTGGAGAAAACAGAGGGTCCCAATCCAGCATGTGAGAGCCTAAGGCAGAAGGTTCAAAACTAGCCTCGACTACATAGTGAGACAAGAAAAGGGGCTGGAGGGCGGGGGCAGGTAGAAGGAGGAAAAGAGGGACAGAAGTGGGGAGATATGAAGAAAACTATGAGGGAAGAAGGAAGGGAGAGAAGGAGGGAATCACAGAAACTCCAAACCTGCTCTTAGGATCTGTAAAGTTCCAGGTGTCCTAAGCCCTTGTTAGATACACTGTATTTGTTCATTTCATCAGGCATGATGAAATGATAATCTGGCGTGAGCTAAGGACATTACAAGGAAACACATGCACAAAGAACATTTCCAAAACAAACACTGAAGCAAGGAGAGCCTCTCTCAAGCTAAGAAGCAAGAATTCCACCACAATTAACCACTACTTAAGGCATTTCTTTCATCCCAGCTGAATCCCTGGGATCTTCTGAAGACCTCACCAGAACCCTATTTGCAATCCTAATGGTGCCTGGCTTTACCTTTTCACATTATAATACAATCAAGGCAGTGCTGAGGCTATACTAGAATCTCACTATTAAAAAGAGAAGGGTGGAGAAAAGGTTTCTTTTTTTTTTTTTTAATGTATTCTTAGTTCATGTGTTTTGCCTGCTTTATTTTATGTGTATTTCATCTTATGTGTTTTGCCTACTTTACTTTATGTGCTTTGCCTGACTATATGTTTGTGTATGATATATGTGTAGTGTCCACAAAACCCGGGAGACGGTGTTGGATCCCCTGGTACTAGCCACCATGTGGGTTCTGGGAATTGAACCTGGGTCTTCCGAGAGAGTAGTCAGTGATCTTAACAGCTGACTCATCTATAGCCCCCTAACAACCTTTCGGGATATAACTTAAGAGGCACCAAAATGCAACATGCAACAAATGCTAAGACATTTAAGCTAACCCTCCAGCGAGGACCTAGCGGCCACACTTACTCTTTCCCGAGGCATCTTTCTCTTGGCACCTGTGGCTAAAATCTACGTCGAAAAAATGCCTTCTGGGGCTGCCAAGAGAGTTCAGTGGGTAAACGCACTTACTGCCAAGACTATTGACCTGAGTTTGATTCCCAGGACCCAGATGGGAGGCAGAGAGTGAGACAGACAGACAGACAGACAGAGAGAGACAGAGACAGGAAGAGTCTCACAAGTTGCCCTCTGACCTCTATACACATGCCATGACTGCCAGCCACGCACCTACCCGACACACATACACAAACCCATGAATAAATAAGTAAATATTAAAAATGACAATCAGACTGGGAGGGAGTAATGCGGCAGAGTGCTTGCCTTGCACCTAGCAGACCCTGAATTCAAACCCCAGCACCGCTACTGAAAACAGGTACTTTATAGTTTTAAATGCTTTGATAAGCCTCAGTTCCTTTTTTTTGTGACATTCATAACCAAACTTTTGGACATGTGTGCTTTTTTATCTTTTTTAAAAGTACCTTTCTCTTGGTGTTTACAAAAACCCCAACTCTGCTTCAGACTAGTCTTGAAATTCTTTTCTGTATCAAAAGAACCAATCCTTCTTGGCTTGCCTGAGTTGAGCTCTCCAAAGAAGATTCATCAGGCTGCTGAGGGTGACAAGGCAGAGCTGCCCCTCTGTCACTTCACTGCTAACAACACATTAAGGGAAAGTTTAGGCTATCGGAAGCTCAGGTTTTCCCTGCATGGTCATCTCCTGGTGTTGACAGGGTAATAGGAGTTCCCGTTGTTACTGAAGTACACCCAGCAAGAAGAGCAGAAAGAACATCAAAAACAAAATGAAACAAACAAACAAATAAATCAGGCACACTCAGAGCTGGGAATTGGATAGATTTGACAGCCTACAATGCTGATGGCTGGACAGCCCCAGTGACAATCCACTGGGACCAACCATGACAACTGAAGAACACCTCTAGGTAGAGATCATGGCAGCAGGCCCTTGGGCAATAATGACAGCAGCACTGCCACAGCCACTAGACTGTTTCAAACTCCCAGTGGTGTCTGTCCTGTAGCACCCTTGCTTCGTACTTGCTACCCTACCACTTCTGTGGAAAAAAAGGAACCTCACCTGGAGGAGAACTCTTGGCCAGATTTAGGTCTCTCTTTCGTCCAGGATTGGCAGCTCTTCCCTGATTGGCCCCCTTCTGTGCCTAATCTGCATACATGCAGAGCCAATAACCGCCCCACCCCTGGTTTTAAGGGCTCTAAATGGTCAAACTCTTCGCATAACACTCCTTGAGGAAGAGAAGGAAGACTATTTGTGCCTTCTTGCCCTGCTGGAGACACTCCCTGCCCCCTGGGTTACCAATGCTCCAGCCTCCAAGACCTGCAGCTGTAGGCTGGGTGACTGGTTCCTACCTCAGCCTCTGTGTCTTGGCTGGAAGCAGAGTGACTGCTTCCTGACTCAGCCTCAAAGATTCAACTTGTGGCAGCCGGCGAGAATTTGCTCCTGGTGGGCACCTAAAGTTTCCAGCCCTCGGAGACTAACTGTTTCAGTCCCACTTAGCCCCAGCCTAGCACTCCAAACCCCTTCCTGCAAATCCTCGGTTTATGTCCAATCTCTCACTGTTGCATTGACTGACGTGCCACTCCTGCTTGGCGACTGGTTTTCCTGTTTGATTCAGTTACTGATCCTTTGTTAATAAAGTTCTCCTTTAATCACCCTTCACTGTCTGCTCACTTTGATCTTGACAGGACACGATAACAAGCTGGCTGGAAGACAGGAGAATGAACTGTCTTTCACTACTCCGGGGAAGTTTCCCTTCTGAGTGCTTCCCCCACAGCTGCTGTGACCCATTCCTCAACTCCCAGGCTACCCTGCAGGCATGTGCCTCTGCAAGCGTGAACACCGGGACTGGACACCAGCAAGTGTTTTCCTTGAAAACGCTTAAATACTACAGGCAGGGGTCAGAGAACAAACCCAGCTTCCCTTCCCTTATCCCAACATGAGGCCAGGCACACACTGCAATCTGAGCAATCAGCTATTCTGAGCATGCTTCTAAAAGAAACCACTAGAAGCAGAGAGCCACCTTCCTGACTCAGCTTGTCTGTAGTGGGAAGAAAAGAGAACCTAGGAGAGCCAAGCAGGTCCCCTTAGCATAAAGCAGTTCTAAGAGTCTCTAACCCAGATGCCCTCTTTATGCCCTTGCTGTTAAAAAAGATTTGTTTGCATAAGGCTGGCCTACCTTCTTTCATGTTCCAAAAAAGGGCAAGGGTTACCAGACTTCCCATCCCTCCACCAGGAAAGAACCACCACCAATCATCATATATATTTATGAGGCTTTAGCTTCTCCAGCACCCCTCAGCATGCTCAATGAGCAACGGGAAGGGATTTCCCACAATCTGGGAAACACTCCTCCTGTCAGGAAAGCATCTTGGAGCTTCCTGACAGAAACATCTACCTACATTGTAAAGCTCAGCCAATCTCATTCCAACAACTGACATACACTCCCCCCATCCTCACCCCAAACATGGACTCTGTTACCTGGGCCACCATCCTAAACCAGGCATGGCGATTCATGCCTATAATCCCATCGTCTGGAGGTTAATGCAGAAGGATGGCTGAGAGTCCTGGACCAGCCTTGGGCTATGTAGTAAGATGCCCCCCACCCACCTTCCTGTCCTCCCTGATCTAGAAAAAGAGAGTTGGAGGGAAAGAAGGAAGGAAAAGAGGTTACAGGAAGAAGAAGATGAGGTGGTAAAAGAGGAGGAGAAGGAGGAGGTAGTAGCAATGAAGGGGGGTGATGGTAACAGAGTAGGTAGTGATGGCGGAGGCAATAGAGGAGAAGGAGGTGGTTGGGATGGTGGGAGCAGTAGAGAGATGCTGGTGATGGTTCTGGTGGTGGTGATGGTGGTAGTGTTGCTGATGCCGCTGCTGGTGATCTAAGTCTGAGAAAAGAAGTGAAGGGACAAGGACAAAAGAGAGGCATTCTTTTTCACATTTGTGACTCTGGCGAAGAACAAACTCTTTGTTCCTTCACAGAAACTCACAGTGGGGAAAGGCCGGGAAATATCCTCCGCAAGCAGGTGCCTATGTGAGCCAGCACATCGCTCACGTCCTCTGGTGACGCCATCTTCATGGACATGCTACACTTCTCAGTCTCCACAACCATCTGCAAGAACAAGAAGCACGCTTAACGAGGAGCCCAAGTTCTTCCCTCTTCATTGACACAAAGTGATGCATGTAAGAGGCATGTCAATGGTGGGAACAATGAAAGTCCCTGCAGAGTGTGCTCGTGAACTAAAACCATAACTACCGCGTGACACAGCTGTACCACTCTTGGGAATACACCTCAAAGATGGTAAGTCAGCATACGACATGCTTGCACATCCACGTTTATTGCTTCGATTTCCTCCACAGCCAGGAGACAGAGCCAGCCTAGATGTCTGTGGCAGTTACTTTTAACTGGCAAATTGACACAGCCTAGAACCACGGGAGAAGAGAGTGGCAGTAAGAAATTGTGTGGATGGGGCTGGGCTGTGAGGATGTCTGTGGTGTATTTTCTTGATGTGAAAAGAGTCAGCCTACTCTGAGTGGTGGCGATCCCTAGAGCAGGAATTCCGGAACAATATAAGAGCGGAGAAACAGAGCAGAGTATAACCAAGCAAGGATCCATTCTTTGTTCTCTGCTCTTAGACTACGGATCCCAAAGGCCAAACTGATGGAAACAGACCTCCTCGGTGACTTGACCACACCCACATCTGAGTCTTTTCCCATCGGGAGAAACATCAGCCCGAGCTTGGGGCAGCCCTGACTTCGTTGCTTTGTCACTTCTTTGCTTCTGAAAGTGTGTCTTTAAAATAAGAAACCTTACAAAATGCTTAAATAAATGCTTAAATACAATTTAATAATCTTTTTTACTAAAAGCAGAGAGGAATTCAAGTTATCATTAAAAAGTTAACCCGTCTAAGCAGAGAAAACGAGACACTGAACAAGGAAAAACACTGACAAGGGAACAAAATCTTCTGATATGCTTAATGGCAAAAGTGGGCTGGAGACAACAAAAAGAGCTAAGATGTATTCCTCATTTAGTCCCGTAAATGAGTTTAAATCCACCTGCAAAGAAGGTAAACTGCAAAACAGGCAACTTGCTGATGATGGGAACTATTGGGGGTTGATCTTGTGCTATATATTCAAATGCTAAATGTTGGCCCCCAAGATCTGGTTTCAGTCCAGATGAGTAAATTCTCATGAACACCAAGTGATGTTGGGTAAACCTTGCTCTCCAATTTGAAGATTGATTGGTTAATAAACATAGCTAGAAGCCTGTGACTGGGTAGAAGAGAAGTAGGTGGAGCTCAGGTTCCCAGGCTTGGGGTCAGATGGGGACCACAGGTGGAAAAGAGAAGCAGGAGAGAAAGCCAGAGATAAGGAAGTCACCATGAGGCAGTACGGACCATGAGCATGTGGCCATGAGGGCTGGCCTAATAGAACAAAAGCAGCCCAGGCAGAAACAATTATGGCAAGTAACTTGAGGTATGTAGCTGAGAAATAGCAAAATTGCTTAGAAGGTTGATATCTGCCAAGTTATTGTGTCTTAAAGCTTATTATAAATTTAAAAGTTCTCTGTGTTTTTTATTCAAGAACTAACAGGTTTGAAGTGGGTTAGAAAGCCCAAGTAGTTATTTAGTAGCAAAAAGGGGGGTGTGTAGCAAACACCCCCCCAAAAAAAATGACTGCTGTTTTGGGGAACATGTGGGGCCAGAGTACCATGGAACCAGGAGAAGCTGACTGGAACGGGAGAGGAGCAGAGTTGTGTCCCACCCTAGAAATCTCATCCCAACAGTGGTGGTAGGAGTGAGACCACGCCCTCCTCTACCCCAAGCCTATAGGTCCAGGTGGATATAGTCCTGCACTTCTCCATCTTTGCCCGCACCTGAGGAGGTCATGTAGTCGCAGCAAGGTTAAACGTCTCCTCTCCTTATAAGGTCATGTCCAGCAAGCACCTGGAATATCTCTTCATGCAAATAAGGCATTCCCAGCACTCTGTCACCTGACCAATGATGTACACTCACCCCAAAGCCTCTACCTACTCCCCAGAGGTTTAAATAGCCTCTGTTCCTCCCCAATTAAATGAGCTGTCTCGCTGAAGCCTGCCTCCCAGAGTCTGTTCTTTCCTGCATTTCTCCCCCTCCCTGGATCCACCAGTTGTGATCACTGGTAGTCACACCACTGTTATGTTCGGGGAAGCAAAACCAGGAGAGAAGATTTCACAAGAATGACACTGGTCGCTTTCCTAAAAGATGGCATTATCTTAACTCTCTTAGTAGCCATACACAATGAAGTCCTTTGGGACCATCACAACATTAAAACATTTGCTCCCTGTTGTCGCTTAAACATATACAAAAGAGAAACAGAATTCCGTGTGCAGTTAGCCAAGGAGATTAACAAAGCAATGCTGGCAGTTTGCTTTAGATTTCTGTAAAATTAGCCAAATTAAAAATAAGGATACTCTAAATCAATGTGTTCTTGTGATGAAGGAAAGGAATGGAAAATATGTTGAAACAATGAGATCCAGTTAATGGTCCTCACAGTGTTATAAAGCTTTTTCACAGAAACTTCAGAGGGATAGCACTCAGTGCCACCTAGCAAGGGGGTGAGGAGGAGATTTAATTTTAACTCTCAACACACTCTTCAAGAACTTGATAACAAACACTAGCCTGGTGGCAAACACCTTACAATCCCAGCATACAGGAGGCTGAATCAGGAGGATCACCATGAGTTTGAAGCCAGCTTGGGCTATGCACTAAGTTTCAGGTCAACCTGAACTATTATATGGGACACTGTCAAGAAAGAAACGGCAGTGGGGTGTGTGTCAGGGTGTTGCAGGATATTTGATCCCATTGTGAACCCCAAAATTGTGAACTGTAAAACCCTGTTTCTTGTTTGGTGTGGTTGAGCCCTATGACTCCTTTAATCCAAGAACTTTCTGTTTATTCTGAACAGTTGATTAAGGTGTGGTTCACCCAACCCTAGCACACACCTTAAATCCAAGAGCTTTCTGTACACTGGATTTAATAAAGTTAACCTTAGGTCAAGAATCAGAGCAATAAACCAGCTGACAGGGGTTAAGGAATAGGATGGACTTTGAGTAGAGGGTATTTAAGACAGTGTGAAGTAGAAAGAGCTTTTAGCTTAAGCTCTGGCTTAAAGATGTGTGGTAAGGTGGGCTGAACCACACCATGATCACCTGTTTACAATAAGCAGAAAGTTCTTGGATTAAAGGTGTGTGATAGGGCTTAACCACACCAAACAAGAAACAGGGTTTTACAGTTCCCATTTTTGGGTTCACAATGGGATCAAACATCCTGCAACATTAGGGAAGAGAGAGGAAAGATGGAAGGAAGGAAATAACTAAGGAAGGAACAGAAGAAAAGAAGGAAAAGAGGGTCATTGAGATTGCTCAGTACTTAAAGGTGCCGGCCATCATGTCTAACAACCCACGTTTGTTCTCCGGGACCCATCATGGTGGAAGGAGGAAACCAGCTCCCACAGGTTGTCCTCTAATTTCCACATGTGCACGGTGGCCTGCACACACATGTTTGCATACATGGGCGCACACAAACACACACTAAGCCATAAATAAAAGTAAGAAGACTAGCCAGGCAGTGGTGGCACACCTTTAATCCCAGCACTCAGGAGGCAGAGGCAGGAGGTTCCCCGTGAGTTCAAGGCCACCCTGGTCTACAGGAGCAAGTTCCCGGACAGCCGAGGCTACACAGAGGAACCCTGTCTAGGGGGGGGGGGGAAGAACAACAACAAAGACTCAAGCAGGGTAGTGCATACCTTTTATCTGAACATACTGAAGGCTGGACTGAAGGACCACTGTAAATTCAAGGCCAGCTTGGGATATACATGGAAAGATCATAAGGAATAAGAGAGAGGGTAGGGGATAAGAGGGGAAAGCCAGAGAGGTGAGAGGAAAAAAAAAATTCTCTAGTATAAGTCCTATATACAGTAGTCCAGGAGACATATTAACCCCAGAACAAGGCAGCAGGCCAACTTCACAGAGAAGGTTTGCAGCTGGTTTCCTACCAAATTCCGCTGTGTCCAGAAGGACGCTAAGTAAGAATCCTGCTGTGGAACACTGGGTTCCTTTGCTCTACATACAGATGCTCATTTCTAAAGCCAGATCATGTGGGAGGCCATTGTGTGTCTGCACTTGACACCTGGTGTCAACCCTTGGCAATTATATTTGTCTGTGAAGGTCCTTTTACATTCCTCACTTCTATTCAGCTCACAGCCTGGGTGCAAGCGATTCATAATTAGCCTATTCTAATTCCACTTGATCTTCACACATAATCATCCCTAATTGCACAGGACTGAATAGGATGACAGGAAAGAGAAAGGGCAACAGGTGGGGAAGAAATGAGCCTTCAAACCCATCCTGACATGAAGGTGCTTACAAAGCCCTGCTGGAGATGTCAACACCTCTGCACAACGTAAAGTCTGCAACAAAGCCACCAAGGGGGAACCACCCAACACATCATGGCCTCAACAAAAAGAGCTGTCTGTCACACACTGGCTTCCTTCTGCTCCAGGCTCAGCAGAAACAGAATGTTCAAACACCTCGCAGGGCAGAACTCATAACCTCTACTCCCTAAGTAAGTGCTTGCCTAGTGCACACAAGCTCTTAGGCTTGATCCGCAGGCTCTTCATTAAAATGACCAGTGATTACAAGCCACCATCGCTACGCCTGATCATTGAAACCAATGCAAGCATCCTGTCAGCTGTGGTACACTCTCCTCCCTTTCTCTCTTTTCCATCTTGAGAAAGGGTCTCAGTTAATTGCTTGAGCCCCTCTGTAGTGCTGGCAGGTCTTAAACCTGCCATCTACCTGCCTCAGCATTCAGTAGCTTAGATTACAGACAGAAATCTACTGGGTCTAGCAATAGGCAACATTTTTTACTAAACCACAATCAATAAACTTATGGGGGGATTTTGTTTCCTCTAACAGAAACAAGCAGAAGTCGGCTTACCTGTGTCACTATGACAGAGAAAACATTTTAGTTTGAAGACAATCATGACGACAATAACAGTATCAACAACTACAATAACAACAGCAGGTACTGAGTTACAGATAAAAATCCCCAAATGTCACAGTATAGAGCT